CATCGTCACACGCCTTAAGAGTTTCTCATGCTGATCCTGTAATGAGCTAGGGCCACCCACAACTGCTCAAACGCCATCCCCTTTTCTTCGAGGCCGTCCACTCTCCCCTTTCTTTCCCGTCGTCGGTGTCCACAATTCGTAATCAGACCGCACAGTGGTGGATTGGTTACCACTGCTGGCCGACGGTGACGTCTGCTTGCCATCTCCTTGTGTCTTTCCCGGAGCTGCTCGTACTGCTCCTGCATAACAAAATTCAAATATTATTTGGCATTTTAAACATTAATTGACATATTAATAGAATTAAATTTTTTAAACTTACATTGACACATTGAGAGTGGTCGGATACCCACTGTTGTGTGCTCGCCGACCGATGTGTAAGCACGTGCAACTCTGCGGTGGATGACTCTTTGTCCAGCTCCTTGGTCTGTATAAATGATTAGATAAATACATGAGTCACATAATTACATAAATTTGTAATTTTTTGAATTTTTGACATCATACCATCCTCTGATAGTGCTCCTTGTGGGGGTTTGAGCTCCTATGGCTCTCTCCTCTATCCGGTTCTACTGATTTTTCTTTCTTCCTCTGGTACTTTGGAGAGGCCCATGCTCGGTTTAACTCAGCCCAAACTTTCTTCCCAACCCACGAGGGCTTCTGCCCCTTCTTACACGCCGTCGTGAACATATTCCCGAGCTTATGCCTGACACGAACTTCAAAAATATACCAGATCTGTTGCTGACGTTCCAACAACCTGTGAAACGACCTCTGCAAATTAGAAAATATGTAAGCTTGATTAGCATATCAAAAGATATAAAAAAGGATAGAAATTAACTTTATATTTCAAATTTAAATATCATATATTGAAATTCCTAAAATACATATCCCGTGTGGCAATCGAGATCTGCTTCTATGATCTGCTCTGGATGATCTCCGTGATTCGCATCACGGGTGGCCTGGGGGATAGAACCTACAAATGTTCCATTAGGCACGTTATGAAATTTAATGAAAAATTGAAATTAGTAAAAAAAGAAAGTTGACTTACGAGTTATCCTCTAGTCAATATACTCCGTCGGCGGTGCTAGCCATCTCAGGTGCTAGAGTCGAGGGGCCTTACTTATCGGATGAGGATGATGGGAGGAAATAAGGTGGAGTGGGAGGTGGTGCATGCGAGGGACTTGGTGCGGGAGGAAGGGCAGCATAAGGGGTCATCAGACTGCACGAGTGCCGTACCTGTTAGTGGTAATTACGACCTTCTTAGCCTCTTATACGTGTTCCCCAAAGTTTCCTAAACGTGGGGTCTCTTGGGAGGCTGAGAACCTGTCATCTTCAACAAGAAAAAAATTTAGAATTAATAAGCATGATTAGTACGTATAAAGTGAAACATGTCGTTTCTATGTATAAAATCAAGAAAATTAAGCAGAACAATTGCAGAAGGTATAGAAACTAAACATCTAAGCATACATACCATTTTTAATCCGTTTCATTCGATGATACAAATGTTGAAGAACTTCAAATTTTTCCGTCAATCTCATCATCATTTTCACCCATATTTAGAGGGACTTTTTCATTGATCCCCGCAGTATCTTCTAGGGGTAACTTCTCGTTTATTGAGCTAAGTTAAATACGAAAATTAGGCATAACTGGCCCTTGGTGAATAGGTTCGATAATATTATGTATCTCAACAAATATTTGTGGTCTATTTTTCAATACAACAACCCAATTAAGTTTATCCCTTGTTCGTCTCGGATATCAAACATAATAAACTTGATTAGCCTGATTTATCATAATAAATGAGTCATACTTTGCATATCTTCTATTCATCGTAACTTCGGCAATATTATATGAGTCAAGTGTCTGAGTTTCTCATTTAGAAATGAGATCAAATCACTCACAGTTGAACGTGTGGACATTGTGTTCAACATAGCCCGAATATTGCAATTGAACTACTTTATTTAGTGTCGTAATAGTTAATCTTGTTATCTGTGTCTGTGTTTCTTCTAACACAACACCACAATTATAAGTTTGTTTTCTTCACAGCAGGAGTTTGTGTGAAATTTGTAACTATTAATTCCAAATATTTGTCATGTCTTACGCTACGATTAAACCCTCAAACAAGGTCTAATAAGACTTGGTCTGGGATTCTGTTGCTTTTATCATATACCTAATAGAAGTTCCAGAGCATAATTAGTTAAATTTCTGTAGTACAATTCCACAACATGCTGGTGAATTTAAAAGTTACTCCAATGTATATGTAATTTGAATCATTTTAGAAATTTGTCTTCAATTTTCTTGCTTACAAGAGAGTCATCCTCTACGTTCAAACATTATGTAAAAATAGTTGATTATATTTAATCTTATTGTAGGAATGGTTGTAGTTCGTCGCAGCTCGGTAGAACATACTAAGTAGCACTTGAAGCTCTCTATTGTTTAGGTAGCGCATAGTATGCCTACGCAATGATTCAATAGAGATCTGAAATACGATTAATTCTGTTTGTAAATGCATCTAACCAACAGTTTCATGCTTATGTTTCCCTTGATCAAAGTAACAAGAACAAAAAGTAATTCTCATGTAATAGGTATGCCTCGCATATCGAACCCCCAGGACGTGCTTTGTTCTTAATAGCCTACTTTATTTTATTCAGAAATCTGCACAGTTTAGTCATTTTAGAAAAAAATAAAATAATATTTCACTCTGAAGTAAAAGATTTCTCTCAAAGGGATACATTCACCTATACTACATTTGTCCCCCCATTATAGCCTCATGACACATGATTGGGCAGATGCTCCATAGAGTCAAAACACCGAGAGAAAATATCCGTTTGAGCTTGCATAACAATAATGGAATACTTGTGTCAAAACTTCGCAGAGAATGAACATCTAATGTGCCTGTGCACAACTCCTTGAAGAATGTACTGATTTTGATCAATGGATCGAGTACCTACATTGGGAAAGTATTGAATGCAATAGATAATAAACACTTCATGAAAATATGACGGTCGTGATTCTTCAGGCCAAATATTTTTCTCATACTCAATTTAACACATCTGCCTATGTTAGAGGCACATCTACTTAGAAACTTCAAGGAATTCAACTACTCAAAAATTGCTTTTTGTTGATCTTATGTGAGACAATACGTAACTTTGGATTTTATTACTTTACTTAAATTTGTGGCAATTCTACCCTCTTCTCTTGCAATACTCTTTCAAATTTATTATTGCTTTGACGTTGTCCTTTGTTTTTTCTTTAATATTAAGAACAATGTTAAATATATTATTAATTTTTTTTGATATGCATAACATCAAAATTGTGCCAAATCAGATTGATTTTTCAGTATGAAAGATCCCAAAAAATATTTCGCTTCATCTAATTATGTAATTCCATAATCTGGAAAATAACTTGAGGTTAATTATGTTCTCTCAGTGATCTTTGGAACTTCACTGATCATTTGCAATATATCACTTCCGCTAATTCTTAGGGTGAACTTGATTTTTCAACTCTAATTTTGAAAAATGCTTCTTTATTCCTCCGGAATGGGTGATCACGTATTAAGAATCTTCAAAGAATAATTTGTGAGGTTTCAGAGCACAAAATATAAACCAACGAATAATTTTTCACTACAAGAAGAAAATAGAAATACTTGATTAAAGTTTTATAAAGTTGTGAGGTATCAGAGCACAAAATATAAACCAACGAATAATTTGTCACTACAAGAAGACAATAGAACTTTTAAAAAGAAGGTTCTTGGTTGCCTTCAAACCACGTAATACTGAGCTTGTATTTTTCACAGATACATATCACCACAACAACCATCCAGAAGAACCCCAACAGTCATACGACTGAAGCAAGAGTACTTGGTTGCCTTGATAGTGGTTTAATACGTGTCAAGAACCCATAACAATATATAGGCCATCAAGAAGAACCCATAAAGTCGAATATCTGATCATAGACCTCCAAACAAAAAATAAAACGTGCAATAAATAAATACATGAAATATTATACTCATGGTTGCATCAGTGGCCATCCATGTGGGCAACAATACATGCAAAAGAACAGAAAATAAAAGTTGCAACAAATTGAGATTCAACATGTACATCATTGTGTAAATCATCTATATAATAAACATTGACGTTCTCACTCGCTAACTAGGACCTCTGTAATTTGCTCTCTCAACTTCATTATCTTCCCATCAACTTCCGAATATTGGGTACTGAACAAAGCAAAGCCACCAAGAAATTAACAAAACCAAATGTTTTTGGTGCTATGTATGTAATAGAGCAAAGTCACCAAGAATATAGGAGGGTAAACAATCCCAAAACAAATGGGTTTTTGTGCAAAACACATACCTAATAGAGCAAAGTTATCAAGAATAGAGGAGGTAAACGATACCAAAGGAGGAAGGAGATGAATGGAACTCTCCACGCCGGGTTTTCCTTGTCATAGGTGCTGAAGATCGAAGAAAAGAATAAGAGGAGGAAAAATCATGGGCAGCTCGAAGGATGCAGTGAATGCGATCGAGACCGCCCACGTGGGCAATAGCGAATTGAATAAGCAGTGAATGCGTGGCTCAGGCCTTGTATGAAATTATCGGGCGCATTTAATGAAATGCGCCCACTCCATTTTAAACAAAAGACGGGAACCGCATCACTCAAATGCGCCGCGGCTAAAACGCTATGCCAAACACAACCTATCCGGTCCATCTACACGTGCCTTCTCAACCGTATGGACGTTGCTATTGCCATTGGAGTGCTGAAAGGCTTAGATTAAATGTTGATTTGGGAGTGAAAGAAATTATCTTTGGTAAAATTTGACTTTTTTATATTCTTTGAAAAATTACTTCGATATTACTGTAACATCTATTACAAGCGTACTTCAATTTTAGCATATTAGTATGGTTCTTTTTTTTTTTGCATTTCTTATTTTACAAAATGTATTGATACTGATGATTTAACCTTAAAATGCTGCTAGGCTTAAGCCTTTTGTCATCGACATAAAATGGTTCTATAGTCAATTGTGCAATTCAAACCTTGATATTCATTAACACGGATGTTAATATATATATATATTTTACTTTTTATAAACATCTATTTCTGAGTTGGTTGCTTCCCATTGGTTCAATTTAAAATACCTAACCCAAACCTATATGTAGCAGCAAAAATCTCACAGGAATCACGTGCTAAAGCCACAAGAAGAGCCACACAGAAGTCAGAAACCAAACACAAAGCCATATGAACCAACCAAGCCATAGGTACACACACGAAAGATATGTACTATTCAAACCTGAATCAACATAATAGACCATCAAGCCTTGACTATTTAAACTCAACCATATAAGAACTCACCCAGATCAGAAACACCAGCCTGATCAAGGAGAAATCATCCCATTTTAATAGGCCATCATCATAGACATATCTCAAATTTACTGAAATTGCAAACTAAATGACCATCAAATAATGAAAAACTAAGTACAACTTGCTCGGATTATTAATTTGTTTGTTTTTTTTACCAATGTAACAAATGTTTATCTCTATAAAAAGTAATCTATCCTTTTATATTTTGTTGTCCATCATTATCATTTAAGTGTATCCCCTTGGCAATCACGGCGCGTTTTTTTTTTTTTTTTTTTTTTTGTTCGCTCTGGCCACTCAATCAGAATGCACACAGTTAGCTGGCCATGCATGTGACAAGGGCAGTCAAGACTTAAAGCAATACAGTATATTATCTTCCTGTTTAACCAAGTTTTTGTGGTCTAAATATGAGAAAAAAATACATGCATACCACATAGGTATGCGTTTACATGTCTCAACACCTGAAGTTTGATATTTACATTTCTACCACCTTGGTATTAAATACCTATGCCTGAAAAGGTGTATTTCACTTATAAAAAGTCAATGATAGTGGAATATTTTATATGATGTCAATGATTTGGGTGTTATATATGTAAATTTGAAAGTTTGGGTGTTAGATATGTGAACATATAAGAATTGTGTGGTATGTATGTAAATGCCCCTTCATTTATGCTTATTACCACAAGAAGCTTGCTTTGATGGTCATGATGAATTTTTCCATTTATGAACGGCCATAATGATTTTACAGTACTTCTAGAACACACATGGCTTGCATGCTTGATAACGCTGATATCCATTTTATTAAATTTGATTGCTGCTGTAAAGTTTGAGTGGCCTCTGGCTAATTACCCTAAGCACAATTGCTATGTTTTTCTTAATTGATTCTTTATTACTGGACACAAATTTGAAATTTGCGTAACTTTCTATTATTCTTCCCAAGCAGTCTTAAAAAAAAGAAAAAGGAAATAACCTCCCAAGTTTTCATTTTAGTTGTAAATTATTTCACTCGTTTATCTAGGTACTGCAACAATGGCAGTGTATATTTGCGATTTGAATCGGTGGCTGCAGCAGTTAATTGTCAACGTGCAATGCACATGCGATGGTTCGCAGGAAGATCAATATCTGCCACGTTTATGGTACGTTTGACCTAGGATAATGCTGATGGTTATGTTATGAATGTTTCAATATTCATGGAAATATACACCAAAGACTTGTGCTACAATAGGCTGCTATTTATATTAGCAAAATGCATGAAGCCAGTGGTTATTGATTTTACTTTATTTTTATTTACTGCACATGTACTGTTATTTCCCCTCAGAAAAAAAAAAAAAGAGAAAAATAAAATGTATTTACTGTTTAACATTATTTTGGGGTCGACTGATTGGTTGAAGTAACTACGATGTTGTTGGGATCATATTTATTTCTTTTTTTATGCTTTATTTGGAAAAAAAAATATTTGATATGTTATAAACATGTTTAATTGTTTAAGAAACACTCAGAAACACCTTAAAATTAGAGTATTTTTTAAAAATGTGGATTTATTTTACAAATAAAATTGAAAACACTTGAAAATATACACTAAACTAATATTTTTTTAAACAATAAAGTAAAAATAAATCAGATAAAAAAGAAAGAAAACAAAATATATCCCAAGCAAGCATAATGTAAAAATAAATCAGATAAAAAAGAAAGAAAACAAAATATATCCCAAGCAAGCTCTAAGCTGTTCTGTTTTAGCTGTTTTGGTGATTTAAATCTACCTATGTTTCTGATGTTTTCTAATTGGCCTTCTGCAGAAATCCCAAGATTATGATGCCAAATTCAGGAGTTCACTGTAAGCATAAGATTGGACCTGACTATTTTCTGTTCATGTTTTTAATCGAACTTAGCGGTTACTGGTTGCCATACCCACCAGTTGACTTGGGAGTGAGTTATATTTCTAGTATACAACAACGTTATTTAGATCAAGATTTCTATAGTTTTTTGGTAGAACATCTTTATTGAACATGTATGATTATTATTTGGGTGAAATTAAGCGTCACCAATTTTTTTTCCGTTTTGAAAAGAGAAGTTTTTTGTCTTGTCTTTTGCAGAGTTTTTATCTATTTTAATTGGACAAAATCACGTTTTTTCATGAAGGATTAGTAACATGCATGATTTTAAAAAAAAGTTAGAGATTATGCAAGTAACTATATCTATTAATAATTCTTATTTATTTACTCAGCTAACACCTAAACATATATTATTTACATCCATACCACTCAAAATCTTTGATATCACATACAAAATACCACGGTCACCATCTTTTTCACCTTTTCATTCGTAGATTTTGTACAACCTAAAAAATTGGCCTCCCTCATCAAATGGAAGGAACCACCATCACCAAGGATGTTGCCTCCGGCGGACTTGCCAGCACCACCGAGTGCCACCCCCATCCAACCGGCCGGCTAAACCTTGCTGGCCGACCACATGGGTTGGCCACCCTTACCGAAGAACGAGCCAACCAATTGGGATGGAAGCCTTCACGTGGAGGAATAACGTCAAAACAGCTCCACTTTTATTAGCCTCCTATGGATAAAAGCCAGGCACACTAGCATTTATTGTCCATATCTCACGGTTAGACTTTAAAAGATGGTGTTTTCTAGGCACATAAAGGAATATTTTATTCCCTCAAGCAAAGGGGGCATGCTGAGCCAGTCAGTCACTCCTTTCGATCGCCATGTTAGTCGCCCAACAACCAGCCACTCGGTTGGCCATCTCCAACCGGCCGACTCAGACCGACGACCTCTCAAACCAAATATTTTACATACTTACCTCTCAAACCAAATATTTTACATGCATACCTCCCAATTCTTTATCTTTACATAAATAGCAACTAAACATCGATAGTTTGTTTGCCACCCAGTCGCTTGGGCCAGCCACTCGACGTCGATGAATCTAGCAACAAGAAAGGGCTCCAGGAAAACTGGTTCAAGCAAGAAAAAGATTAGTGTACCCCTCAGGACCTCCCTTATAACAGAGGTATATATGTAATTTTCTCTCTACTCTCTCTTTTCTCTATAAATAGAAGACCCGTTGGATGTAAAACGGGTTCCTTAGGTTCCCCCCCTCTCCTCATGTAGAGAGCTTGCTCTCCTTCTCCCCTACTTGAACCTAAAACTTGTGTGGAATAAAAGGGGTCGCCGAGCCCGGGGACCACCCTTATTTTCCCCCCTGACGGGGCAACCCTCTCTCATTCTCTCCCTCTCTTTCTCCACCTCCCGGAATCCGGCTCTACCCTTGAGCATAATCCAAATGATAGATTTGGATTCAATATCTTAAAGGTAAAGTGAGCGTGGAACGTGCCGTCAATAAAGTTTAAAGTCAAATGATAGAGAAATAAGAGATCAAAGCAAGAAACTAAAAATAAAGGAAAAAAAGGAGAAGAAGAGAAGAAGAAGTGAAGATGCAAATATAAAATGACAATACAAAGAGAAAAAAAGAAAAAATGTTAACAATATATAAAGTAAAGGGAAGAGCAGATAAAAGGAGGAAAAGACAAAAAGAAAAGGATAAAAGCAGAGAAAGGAAATGAGTTACCTCATACTCCAAAGGCTAGCAAGTAACGTATAGAATGATAAGAAAAAGATAAGCACTTCCCCACTCTACCTTATTTACTTATTATTCATTAAGGAAGAAAGAGAAAAAATAAATGAAATAAAAGAAGGATGTAGATAAAGTAAATACAAATAAAAAAAGAAACATAAAAGACATCTCTTTTCTTACTTAAACCCCTCATCCGTGAGAGCATTCCAAAAAAAAAAAAGATTACACACACTCTCTTTCTAAGTCTCCCCTCCTGGGCGAGCCAACTAATTCTTTCTAAGCAGAGCACTCAATGCCTCCCTTCTGGGGTGAGCAAAACAAATCCTCTAACTCTCTAAGTCTCTCCTTCCGGAAGAGCATTCCAAAGATCAATCTCTTGACTTGAGTCTCTCATTTGGGATGAGCAAACAAAGCTTCTCTCCCTCAAGAAATCTCAAAGCTCAAGTTGGAAGAAGCTATGGAGGTTGTTCTCTGTCCCGAAGTGACAAGATCTGTAAGGAGTACGACACAAATCATTCTACTAGTAAGTCGATGGTTCCCCTTGCAACGACATTGACAATACCGCCTAAAATTCGCCGCTAAGGTGAGGCCTGCTAGAGGTGATGTTCCGAAAATGATAGGAAAGATGGGTAATAAGCGAGCTTGAGTTGTGAGAATTTTTCGATCAAAAAATCTAAAAGGATAGCTTGATTATATTCTCCAAAGATATGAACACTAGCAATTAATTATTCTTCTGTCGGACCAATTCACCAAAAAGATGGGAAGAAGATAGTGAAAAATTATTAAACTTATGGGATAATGTTCTCAAGACTATGGTCGCTTCACCTCCAAGATGTGAAAAACTCTGAGGCTTTATGTATAGCTTAAAAAATAGGCCTCTCTGGTAAAATCAAAGGAACAGTCGCCATCGAGGAGGTCGCTGCCGGAGGAGTCGCTAGCACCAATGAGCGTCGCCCTCATCCAACCGACCTACCACTTGGACTGGCCACCCCATGTCAACCGGCAACGTAGACCGACCACACCTTGCCGCCCGACCACCTTAGGCGGTGAACTGGCCGCCCACCCTTGCCGGCGAACCGATTAGACAGCCTTATCGTTCAGCCACCCACCCTTGCGGACGAACCAGCAGGCCAGTTGGGATAAAAGACTTAACTTGGAGGAATAACGTCAAAGCAATTCCACTTTAATCAGCCTCCTAGAGATGAAAGCCCAAGGCACACTAGCATTTATTGCCCATATCTAACTGCCAGACTTTAAAAGAAAGATGTTTTCTAGAAACATAAAGGAATATTCTATTCCCTCAAGCAAAGGGGGCATGCTGAGCTAGTTAATCACCCCTTTCGATCGACCATGTAAGCTGCCCAATAGCCAACCACCCGGCCGACCACCCACACCCTACCGACTAGGACTAAGCACCTCTGAAACCAAATATTTTACATGCATACCACCCAATTCTTTATTTTAACATAACTAGCACATGAACTTCGATATTTTATTTGCCACTCGACCACCTGACACCGACGAATCCAGCAACAAGGAGCTCCAGGAAGACCGGTTCGAGTAGTAAAAAGATTGGGTTACCCCTCATGACCCCCCTTATAACGGGGGTATATATGTAATTTTCTCCCCCCCCTCTTTTCTCTCTATAATTAGAAGACCTCTTGGATGTAAAAGGGGTCTCTTTTGTCTCTCTCTCTCCCCCTACATGCTTCCTCTCTCTCTCTCCCCCTACATGCTTCCTTTTTCCATCACTTGCAATCTAACCCCCCCCCCCCCCCCCCGATGGGGCAGCACACCCTCCCTCCCTCCCTCAGCAAGATCCTTTGGGCACAGTCCAAAGCACAAATTTGGATTCAACAAGTTTATAACACCAACTTGTTATAAGTGTATGTAGATTAGGATTGCATGGTATGTATGTAAATTTTTTAATTTATTAATACAATTTTGATCACACAATAGAATTGTGCATTTCAATGTGTACAGGTTTTGAAGTAGGTTGGAATTAGAATTATGGGTCGAGGATCTTGAACATTTTGAATCTCTCTCCATCTCTCTTAATTCAGATATTTGTGTGATTAAAAAATTTCTCTAATCTCTTTTAATATGTAGAGCTTTTGAAATATTATGGAATTGTCAGTACGAATTGAGGATATTGAGAACGTTTGATCATTTAAGATTGCTTTGATGCATTATTTAGATTTGTTCAATGTTGATTAAAATTCATGATAAACGTAGTTATGATTTTTAAATACTAATTTCTAATTAGTTTGGAATAAAATGCATCTGGTGTTGACAAGATTAATATAATGATGTTTAACATGCATGGAGTAGATGCTATTTTTTTAGTGATTTAAGATATCACTCAAACCTTTTTTTTTCCTGTCATATTACTTGTGTTTAAACTTACAACCCTAATTACGAATTAAGAAGAAAGGGCATGTTATTCACATGTAATATTTGTTATGAATGAAAATTGTGTAATCTTGAGTATGAATAGCTTTAAAGGAATATTTAGCAGGAAGTATGTATAATTTAATATTATTTCAAATATGATTTCACTCTTCAAATATGAGCTATTTGCGAACAAATTGTTTTCTTGACGGCACTAATTTTGGGTAAATAATTCTCCTTAAAATCTCGCCCTTAAAGTTTGACAAAAATAAACAATACTCAAAATGTAAAGAAAGGAAAAAACATCATAATGCCTAACTGAAGTATACTAACCAGAAATTAAAAAAAAAAGAAAAAAGAAAAAAAGGGTAATCATATCTTTTAATTATGGTGATATTAGTCATTTTGTTTAGCTTAAATTTAGATGATGTTTAAAGTTTTAATAACACTTTAGTGTAATTCTATTCATTCTTGCGTTGAATCTCTAGGAGAAATATCTTTGAAATGTGATTCAAAATTTATTAATAGCTATGATAATTATTTGCAAACAAATCACTTCCAAGTGAATTATGAAGATGCATATCTCAACACATTAATAGATACCCATAGGAACGAAGTCATTAAAGTTCTCATTCATATGTTCGAGAAAAAAATAAGAAAAAAGATATTTAACAGTTGTAACTATTGAAAATAAATTTTAGATTTTAATCAAATAAAATATGAAAGTTTACAAAAAATTATCCGATAAAAAAGAATAGACCTGCTACCATCAATGATCAACTTGAGATTACTCAATAATAAAATCATTATTTTAAAAGCTGAGCAAGCAAGTATGTTTAATAGGCTTATTAATCTTATTTTTTTAAAAAAAAAATTTAAGGGTTAATAAGGATTCCGCCGGATAATCTTAAAATTATTGTAAGCAATACATCTAATCATTAGTTCAAAGCAATATAAGATGTTTTTTTTTTATTAAGCATATCTTTGTGGGCAAGATGGTCAATTAAATACAAATCATACATCATTTTTGGTTTTTAATTTGGACAAAAGGTTTGGTGA